CCCTCTCATGTGCTCTCTCTCTCATTCTCTCTCTCAAATAAATAAATCAATCTAAAAAAAAAAGTTCAACTGAATGACTCAACTAAGAAGCCAATCAGCTACACCAAATGAGGGGGGACGCAAACTCTCTGTAAATTCAGCTTTGAAGCTTGGGTGGACATTGCCACTAACTCTGGGTAATTAACTGTCTGACAGACATAACTAGCATACCCGATTGCTCGGATTACCACATATAGCCATACTCTAATAAAAAAAAAAAAAAAAAGGACTCTCTGCCAAAGCAGGGGCAATTAAAAAGGGACACAATCCATTCCCAGCAAAACAGAGTTTTCTACCAACCTTGCTACTACCACTTCTCAAACCGTCCCTTTCTACTGCCCGAACCTTGAGAAATTCCCGTCTATAACCACAAACTATTTACCTTCTAGGGCTCCCAAGCTCTCCTTCCAGAGGAATGTGCTTTTGTTGCCACAATTACCCCTAAGTGCTAACCCTTCAATCTCCCAATTCCTTGTCCCTGTGAATTTGTGTTGCTTCCTAGTCTGTCTAGATACCAACAACTAGTCAATGCAATTATTCTCTTACTGATTTCATGAATATCTGGGGCAACTGACACTCTTCCAAACCCATTTTGCCTGCCGGTCGGGGTAAACCCCACCATTCAGCAAGTATTTATGGGCCTGGCAATATTCCAGGTGCTGGTGATACACACCAAAATTCTTAAGCCTGTTGGGAGTTTACATACTTAGCAAGGGAGACAACAGCAGTCAGATTAAATAATATAGCCGCCATTTTTGAAGAGAGCAAGTGCTACAGAGAAAAATAAAGCAGAGATGAATGAGGGTTGCGATTTTATTTTTATTTAAATTCAACTAATCAACATATAGTGTATTATTAGTTTCCATAAAGTGCTGTGATTTATCAGTTGTATTTAACACCCAGTGCTCATCACATCACCTTCCCTCCTTAATGCCCATCACCCAGCCCAGTTACCCCATCCCCCCAACCCCCTCCCCTCCAGCAACCCTGTTTGTTTCCATACTTAAGAGTCTCTTATGGTTTGTCTCCCTCTCTGATTTCGTTTTTTTCTTTTTCCCTCCCTTCCCCTATGATCCTCTGTTTTCTTAAGTTCCACATGAGTGAGATCATATAATTGTCTTTCTCTGATTGACTTATTTCACTCAGCATAACACCCTCCAGTTCCATCCACGTCGTTGCAAATGGCAAGATCTCATTCCTTTTGATGGCTACATAATATTCCACTGTGTATATATACCACCTCTTCTCTAGCCATTCATCTGTTGATGGACATCTTGGCTCTTTCCACAGTTTGGCTATTGTGGACATTGCTGCTATAAACATCGGGGTGCACGTACCCCTTCGGATCCCTACATTTGTGTCTCTGTGGTAAATACCCAGTAGTGCAATTGCTGGATCGAACGGTAGCTCTATTTTCAACTGTTTGAGGAACCTCCATACTCTTTTCCAGAGGGGTTGCACCAGCTTGCATTCCCACCAACAGTGTAGGAGGGTTCCCCTTTCTCCACATCCTCGCCAACATCTCTCGTTTCCTGACTTGTTAATTTTACCCATTTTGACTGGTGTGAGGTGGTATCTCATTGTGGTCTTGATTTGGATTTCCCTGATGACAAGCGATCTTGAGCATTTTTTCATGTGTCTGTTGGCGATTTGTATGCCTTCTTTGGAGAAATGTCTGTTCATGTCTTCTGCTCATTTCCTGACTGGCTTATTTGTTCTTTGGGTGTTGAGTTTGATAAATTCTTTACAGATTTTTGGATACTAGCCCTTTATCTGATAAGACATTTGCAAATAATCTCCTCCCATTCTGTCGGTTGTCTTTTTTGTTTTGCTGACTGTTTCCTTTGCCATGCAAAAGCTTTTTATCTTGATGAAGTCCCAATAGTTCATTTTTGCTTTTGTTTCCCTGAGGGTTACAATTTTAAATGTGGAAGGACTCATGGAGGTAGTTTTTTTAAAGACTGATTGATTGACTGAAGATAGGGAGAAAGAGAGAATGAGTGGGAGGAGCAAAGGGAGAGGGAGAGAGAATCCCAAGGAGACTCTGCGCTGAGCACAGAGTCCAATATGGGGCTCAACCTCGTGATCATGACCTGAGCCAAAATCAAGAGTCGGATGCTTCTGAGCCACCCAGGTGCTCCGTGAGGTGGCAATTTAAGCCAGTATGCTCTGTGCTCTGTGTTTAGCACTGTATTAGACTTGTCCTGCATCCACTAACATAACGTGGCAAAGCTCTGGGCATAAGAATGTTTACTGAAACTTTCGGTATAATGGTATTAAAAACTGGACACCACCAGATCAGTAATTAGAGGCCTGTCTGGTAAACTGAAGAACAGATCTCTGGACTATTACATAACCATTAAAAATAATGGAAGTAACAGTCCAGTAACACTGTAATCTACAACGTTCAGGAAAATAAGCAAAATAGAAAGGGTAAAAATTTAGGTAAGTCTAGATGGTAAAATGCACAACTAAAAATAGCATTACAGTGGTTGGGCTGTAGGTTTTCTTCCCCAAGATTTAAATGTTTTTAACACACTTTTTAGAGTTCCCTGTTGAGCTAGGACTCACTGCTGCTCTGCAAGGCTTTCACTCGTGTGTTAGTGAAACTTTAATTTCCTCAAAGGCCCAATCTTAACGCTACTTCATTCCCAGGTGACCTTTTTGCCCTTCTTAGTGAGAAGCTTGCGGCCACGTAGCATGAGCTAAAACAATCTTCATCCACTAATAACGGCCTCTGCCCACCCCCTCTAACGTCAAGAGTGCCTCTTCTCCATGGTGGGTTTGTTCTGCTGCCCCTGCCCTCCCAGACTGGGTAATCCTACCCCGGATGCCTGCAGTTTTCCACATGCTTCTGGGCGAGCTCCGCACTGCCCCCCCCCACCCCCAATGGTTAAAACACCAGCTGGAGACGGAGCAGTGGGTGCAGCAGAGGGGATTACTCTGCCCTGGCGCCTGGGGGAAGCAATCTGTACTCACCCTGCAGACCAGGTCTCACTGAGGAATCTGGCCCCTGGGAAGCACGGGACAACATG